TTGTTGTGATTTGGTGCTGTGTAAATAAATAAAATAAAATTGAATTGAATAGAACTGAATTGAATATCTTCATGGTGTGGCACAGGAGTCGGATTGGCGGTAATTGGAGCAGTCGGCCACGTTGCCTTTACCTTTCCAGATGGGCACTGTGCTGCTGGTTGACCAGACTGCTGGGACAGCCCCATGTCTGATGATGTTGTTGAACAGGTCGGTTAGGATTGAGGCATCCTGGCGGCCGAGTAGCTTCCAAACTTTGGCTGGAATGTTGTCTATTCCAGTTGCTTTGCCATTCTTCATTTTCTTGGCGGTGACTTCTACTTCCTTGATGGTAATTGACGGGATGGGTTCTGGGACAGGGTTGGTGCTGTGGATTGGCTGGTGGGGGAACTTTAAGTTGCAGATATCCGAAAAGCAGTTGCTCCAATGTTTGAAGATGGCGGGTGGGTCGCAAAGGATCTGATGGTTGGCATCGTTGATATGTTTGACCTGGCCGATGTCCTGCATTGCTCGATGGCATTTATTTGGCGAGACGGTAGACTTTGTTCGCTCCCCCGGGCATGTCCAGTTCTTCATAGAGTTGGTCATAGTGCGATGCCGTTGCCGCTGTTAATGCTTTTTCGGCAGTACCACCTAAGCTTCTGGATCATAAAAAAATACAGTTGACACCATTGAAGATGGTGGGTGGGTCGCCATCTTCAATGGTGCCATGGCCCAGAAGCTTAGGTGGTACTTCCATGGACATGTCTTGTTCTCCATAAGAAAACCTGGCCTTGTTAGGAGAGTTGGCATCCATCCCACTTTGGAAAGAGCAGCTCTTGTTTCTAGAAATCTGGCCAATTTTAATGAACCTTAATCATTTTAATGGATGGAGACAGAATTTCTGCCAAAAATCTAAAAGAAACATGAAATAAAAGTCATATGAGCAAAACACGATTTGGCACAGTGGTAAGATATTTGTTGTAGTTGTCACCAGGTTTGCAGAAACTCTCTAATTGCTTTGGGTTTTCTTGCTGCTGCTTGATAACTCGAAGATTCAGCTCCCACCACCAACTCTGTTGTTGCCTTTGTGGTACGTTTTGGATCATCGTCATGCTTGAAAACACATCCACAAACCATCTTCGGTGTTCTGGCTTTGGGAAGTACGTGGCCCACTGGTCCCTTAGTGTGTTAAACTCTGTGTTTATAGAACTTCTTGTAATGAATCATTAGTATTACTTTCTGGATCTTCTCCAGTATCATGTCATATATCATTGTAGAGTGTTTAACTTCCAGTGTACAGTGACTTGAAGTTGTCTGTTGTTATTTGGCTTTGAATTGAAATAAGTCATCCTGTACCCCTAATTGGAAAAGCATAATGTTTCCATCCCCATGCTTGACTGTAGGGATGGTGTCTTTGGGTCAGACTCACCATTTCTCTTCCTCCAAATACAGCAGATCAAGTTGATGCCAAAGAGCTCGATTTTGGTTTCATAGCACTTTCTCCTAAACCTTCTCTGAATTTAGATGTTTACAGGCAAACTTAGGATGGGCTGTGTGTTCCTTATTGAGCAGGGGAACCTTGTGCACTGTAAGATTTCAGTCCATTATGGTGTAGTGTGTTACTGCTACACCATAGTTCTTGGTGACTGTGAGTTTAATTGCCCTCAAATCCTCAATGAGCCCCTTTTGCGTAATAGCTGATCCACCTCCCTCGTTTTCATCCGCAAACTCTTACATGAAGTTCCAGACCGAGGGTGATTGTTGTCATTGATATTTTATATTTTCTTTCACTTCCAAATAATCACATCAACAGCTGTCGATGGTCTTGCAGCTAATTCCACGTGCAGGTTTACAGAGTCTGTTTGCTGTTGCCTATGGTGGCAGATGTTGGGATGGAAGACATTCTTTCTGTGGAAAGGTGTGCTTTACACACCTAGTTCAGGATTTATTTATTATCATGTGGCACACAGCCAATCTGTGGTAACCATAACTCTGTTGCATGGATTAAATATTTATGCAAATCATAACTTTAATAGCTGGTTATAAATTATAACATTTATTCATCTAGATTTTATATTCTGTCTCTCTCTCCATAAAAATGAATCTATCAGGAAAAATAGACACTATTCATTTTTTTGTAAGTGAGCAAACTTACAAATTTAGCAGGACATCTAATAATTATTACACTCACTGTATACACTTGATGGGAGGCAGAGCCTTCAGTTTTCAGGCCCCTCTTCTGTGGAACCAGCTTCCAGTTTGGATTCAGGAGACAGACACTATCTCTACTTTTAAGAT